CGCCTCAACCACAATGATCTTCATCAAGCCTGCTTCTCCATGATGCTGCCGCCATCGCCAACCTTCATGCCCAGCGATTCTTTGTCTAGAACATCCGGACTCTTGTCACCGTCGTTCTCGACCTCAACTCCGGTTGACAATATCAGCACGGTCTACATGTCCTCCAACCCGATTCAGTATCAGCGCACCAAGCACATCGAGATTGATCTTTACTTCGTTCGAGAATGGGTTGCCGTTGGTGATGTTCGTGTCCTTCATGTATCGACCTCGTCGCAATATGCGGACATCTTCACCAAAGGTCTTCCTTCTTCAGTCTTCATGGAGTTCAGGTCCAGTCTGAACGTGCGCAGTGGCTGACGATCAGATTGCGGGGCGTGTTAGAAAGAGGATTAGAGGGCTAATGGGCTGGCCGCATGGGCCTAGGCGCCCAGAGGTTTTTATGGTAGTTGATTCACTACTGGAGACGCGCTCTTTGCCGAGTGCCTAGGGCACTCGGCAAAGGCCCTATTGCACTCGACAAAGGCTTTGCCGAGTGCCACACTTGGCAAAGAGCAAACGGCAAAGCCGCATCCGGCGAAGGGTTCTTTGCCGAGTGCCAGCACGACACTCGGCAAAGAAAATTGGCCGTCAGCCATTGACGGTGTCTTTGCCGAGTGCCGGGTCAGGAAGGCACTCGGCAAAGCTTTTCCCTTTTTTTGAAAAATCCTTTGCCGAGTGCCTTCCTGACCCGGCACTCGGCAAAGAAAAAAATATTTTTTTTTAAAAATCCTTTGCCGAAAGTGCCTTCGACCCGCACTTTCGGCAAAGAAAAAAAATTTTTTTGAAAATCCTTTGCCGAGTGCCTAGGTGAGACGGCACTTTCGGCAAAAAGAAAAAATATTTTTGGAAACTTCTTTGCGAGTGCCGGGACACATGGTAGTGTCCATAGCTTTGCCGAGTGCCGAGAATGCACCGCACTTTCGGCAAAGGGACCTCGTAAGCGCATTTTTTGCGGCTTTTTGCGAGTGCCGGGCAAAAGGCGCTCGGCAAAGGCTCTTTTGCCGAGTGTTACACTTTCGACAAAGTGACCAAAATTTTTGTTTTTTTGGTTTTTTGCTTTCGATCACTGCAAACACAACATATGGCATATATATCACATCCATCACATATATACCACATCCAGCACCTTATATGTCACAATCCATCACACATACCACATGAATCACATCCGTTCACCACATGTCACAGTAATTCCATCCATTATTCGACAGGATTCCACATCATTCAACAAGTTCTAATCCATCACCACATGTCACAATAACACATGCATGACAACAACATTGTCTCGGGACAGAAATCCATTGTGAAGAGAACAAGACATGAAACTACAAGCGCTACTCACTAGAAGCGGCCCTTGATGTGGCCATCCTGGTGACGACGGGAAGGAAACATCTGCTGGTTGGAGTGCCCTGAGCTAGGTTGTTCGAACCCACCGACTGAGGCTGCACACAGGAGAAGAGATTGCATGAGACAAGATTAGTTGAATAGCGATTGTAGCAATTCCTTGCATGTGTGACATTACTCACTGGAGTAGCGGAGTGAGGAGGCTGAGGTGGACCCATTAACCCAGGAGGCATAGCAGCACCCGTCGTAGTTTGCATCCAGGCAATAATGTCCGCCAACCTTTTCTCTTGGGCAAGAAACACAACACTATAAGTTGAAAATTTCGGCAGAACCTCCCCTGTACAGGGAGGTTTCCAAAACCTGCAAAAAATAACGGCACGAAGGCCGACATTCACAAGGGCACGAAGGCCGACATTCATGACATTCACAACGGCACGAAGGACGACATTCACAAGGGCACGAAGGCCGACATTCATGACATTCACAACGGCACGAAGGCCGACATTCACGGCACGAAGGCCGACATTCACAAAGGGACGGTGCATATACCTTGGGCGGCGGCGGGACGTGCACGCGCAGAAGAAGACGCCGAGAACTCCTCCTCCTTCCTCCTCCTTCTCCTTCTCTTCCCCTTCCTCCTTCTTCCTCCTTCCTCCTCTCCTTCTTCCCCTTCTTCTCTTCTTTTCCTCTTCTTCTCCTTCTCTTCCCCTTCCTCCTTCTCCTCTTCTCCTTCCTCCTACTTCACCTCTGCCTCCTCCCCTCCAAGAACCGACGGCGAGGGGGGGGGGTGGCTGGCAACCCCCACAGGGGAGGGAGGTGAAGGCGGCCCTCCCTCCTTCTCCGGCGGCAGTGGGGCCAGGCGTTCAGCCAGCGCCAGGCTGGGCGCCTGGTGGGAATCTTGCGAGGGAGGGAGGTGGGCACACGGTGGGGCGGGCAGGCCAGAGCGGCGGGGTCGGTGGCCGCCGTGTACACGAGCCCTGCAATGGCCGGCGGGGGCTGGATCTTGAGGCGGGCGGCAGGTTGGGGCGCAGGGGGGCTGACTTGTGAGGATGGGGCGCGGGGTGGGGGGTCGCCAGTGGGGTGGGGCTCACGCGGGGGGGCCAAGGCGGCGGCGGCGGCGTGAGGCCACAGAGGCAGGTCTTGGGCGGCAGCAGCAGTGTGGCGATGGGGCTTCGGGGTGGGCGTAGGAAGGAATACCCTTTCCTTTGCCGAGTGCCCGCGAACTGGCACTCGGCAAAGGATTTTTAATATTTTTTTTCAAATATCTTTGTCGAGTGCCGTAGATATGGCGCTCGGCAAAGAGTTTTTTTTTTTTTAAAAAAGAAACAACCGTACTTAAAAGAAAAAAACTTACCTCTTTGTCGAGTGCCGCAGATCTGGCACTCGGCAAAGCTCAGATTAAAAAAAACCGAAATCGTCCGCGTTTTTTTAAAAAAACTTTCACCTTTGCCGAGTGCCCCCCCCTTTAGGCACTTTCGGCAAGTGTTCTTTGCCGAGTGCGAGTTGGGCACTCGGCAAAGCATAATTTTTTTTTGTTTTTTGCCTCCAAACTTTTTCTTCAGCCTTTATACATTAAGTTGAAGTACATCCTCAAATTTGGCACATTTCTCGATCTTTTTGCTATATATCCATAATTTATTTCATTTAATTGCATTTTTCTGGGAAATGTAAGTTTGAACTGCAGGTGCATCGAATCATGGAATTCGACGAGTGGAAAAATGATATTCGCGTTACTTATTGTATTTTGAGGCCGTTTCCAGGAGCACGCCCGAAGTTTCAAACATCTCACGCATGAAACATGGCGACAAAATTGCGGGTGAAGTGTTTTTAATTATATAAAATGCAAACGAAGTTCGAAAATCATAAAACTTGGTGACGGGAGCTTTGCCGAGTGTCGGTCTTCGCCGAGTGCCTCGACACTCGGCAAAGAGCTCTTTGCCGAGTGCCCGACATTTAGCACTTTCGGCAAAGCCGGCGATACTCAGCAAAGCCGAGCTCTGCCAGTAGTGATTGATTATTAGGCAAGTATCTCCTTGATTGGGTATTTGATTCTATAAACCCTAGGACGTCCTTGCCTATATATTGTACACCCTTGTACCTCTCATTAATCAATCTACCTATTCCCGAGTCATATCTTCCTTCAATGGCTATTACGCATCAGAGGTCTACAAGTTTGCCTTCAAACCTTTCTCCACCGAGGCCAAAGTAGAAGAAGAGCTGCAGAGCTTCAAGGCGTGCATCTCTTCACCTTATAACCATTGACATGAATAAATGATTATCCAGGAGCTGCAACTATCCCTCAAGAGAGGAAGCGATTGGTCTTTTCAGCTCAAAGTTGTGTCCTTTATGCATCTGGTGAAGAAGGCACAAACTGACAAAAGTCTTTCAAGAAGACCCGTAACAACACAACTTTTGAAGGCTGCAGATGATCAGGCTACTTTAAGAAGCCAGAAAGATGGATGTCTCTCTACTTGAATCCATATCTGGTCTATTGCCAAGCACATTGCCACCACAAATGCAAGCAAATGGTCTCGTGTCCCCAAGATGTCCCCAAGAGATTCCAGAAAAGAAAGGTTGCCTTCAAGGAGGAATAGTTGCAAGCACAAGGGTGCAGCATGGGAGATGTTGAGAATGGTGCTGAGTTGTTCAGGAGATTTATCCAAGGCAGCGTTTCTCTCCTAAACATTCTTAGTGCATAGATAATTCTCAAGGCTTGCTCCGGTGTTTTGTGATTGGCATCCGCCTTTTAAAGGATCCATCAATCTTTGAACACCTTTCTAGTTTGTACACAAAATAACATATACATAGGTCGAATCAAAAGGCCACCCAATTCTAGAATCAAAAGGCCATCCACTCATAACTCAACTCTAGAATCAAAAGGCCATCAAAACTCCAAAGCGAAAAATGCATTCACAGTCTCCATCTTGTGGCATGCCTCAATCTTATGTAAGCTGCCAACTGGGATTTTATCAGCTGATTGTTGTGCTAATGTGGTTTACATTAGGGGCATTATGGATACAAGGGACAACAAAAGGGAACAAATTCTCCTAAAAAGGTATTTAGGGTGCTCCTGCTAGCGGGTGAGGCGTTGCAAGAGCTGACCGCCAAGGAGGAGGGAGGGAGCCGCAAATCAACAGCCAGATCACGAGTGATATGCTGCATCGTGCTGCTTGACGATGCAGCAACAATGCAGGCTCATCAAGGCCATGCCCACCAAGAGAGTCGAAGACATCAAATTTCACATGTGTACCGAAAAAGGTAAGCGGTACATCAAATTATTATTTATTTGACACAATCTCAAAGTTTTCCGAAGCACTGGGTAAATGTTTATGCTAAAGCGAAAGAACAACTATATATAAAGTTCCATTAACTATACTGGTTATGAACAGTCACGCAATTAGGAGGCCTGCTGGCGAGCGATACTCAAATCAATAAACACATCTAGCGTGGTAGGGTGGCAGATTCCATGAACTCTTTCTCCAAACTAGAACATCGTTGGTTGTGTTTCAGTGGTAAATTGGTTCCCTCACCTGGTTCTATGGCAAGCGCTTGGCAAGTAGCTTCAGCTCTTCGAGCTAGCAACATTATTTTATTTTGCTGCTCATTTTGGCAAGAGCTCACCCGTTTCTTTTTCGTAAAATCTGCAATTCCGTCTCCACTTGCTTCATTGTAGGCCTTTCTTCACCACGTAATCTTAAGCACATCTCTGCAAGAGAGGCAACGCTGCTGATCTCCTCTTTGGTTGCTTCCTCGGCAACTTGTGAGTCAACTATATCAGTGATTTCTTTCTCTTTCAATGCCTCAAGAAAGTAGTATGACAAGCTTTGAACCCCGCCTGAGTTATTTTTGGAAACTGGTTTCTTTCTAACAAGCAGCTCCAGTAGCACCACTCCAAAACTATACACATCACTCTTCTCATTTAGCTGCCTCAGAACGAAGTACTCAGGATCTAAGTAACCAAGTGTACCTTGTACATTGGTATTAATGTGTTTTGATCAACTGGAACCAATCTTGAAGCGCCGAAGTCTGAAACTTTAGCAATGTAGTTCTCATCCAAGAGTATATTTATGGATTTCACATCACGATGGAAGACTGATATTGAAGCGCCTGAGTGGAGATATGATAGAGCACCTGCAGCTTCTGTGGCGATTCTTATGTAATCATCCCAAACCAAAGAAACATCATTTCGTGATTCAGCATGGAGAACTTGAGACAATGACCCATTGGAAATATAGTCATATACCAGCAACGGAACCTCATATTCTAGGCAACATCCAAAGAGTTTCACAATGTTTCTGTGATTTATTTCAGAAAGTATTGCAACTTCGTTGATGAATTCCCTGATCTCACTGTACTCAATGACTAGAGACTTCTTTATTGCAACAACATGTTGGTCAGATAAAATGCCCTTATAAACCATCCCGTACCACCCTGTCCATTGATGCGTGTGGGATCAAAGTTATTTGTTGCCTTTTCTAGCTCTTCTAGGGAGAAAATATTTGTTTTGTCTGGTGATATCTGTTCTAGGAGGAGACCTTGATTCTTGAGGAAGTAATTCTTCCGCAGTTGGTTTTGAACATTCTTTTTCCATCTTCGGAAAAGAAACAGTGCAACAAAGCTCAGGAGTAGAATGCTGAATCCTCCCGAAAGTCCGATAATAATACCTATATAGACATGATCTCCTTATATACACGATTTTTTCAGGAGTCAAATATTACCTATACCTTATTTGAAACATAAATGTTAATAACAGCAACATTGGCTTACCTATGAAGAGAAGTTGCTGCTTTCTTCTAGTACACTGATTTTTTGTGGGATCATACTCAGTCTTGCGAGGGCATTCAGTACACGTGAAGCCTCCCTCTATATTACTGCAGACTCTTCCCTTACAAATGCCTTGCTGAAGGCACTCATCAACATCTGCAAACCAGATCTTCCTGACATGTGACAACAATTTTGAAGAAAAGAGAATGAAGATATGACGGGTAGTAAAGTACCTTGACAACCATTTTGAATGTACGGGTTTCCTTTGAAGCCATATGGGCATTTGCAGCGGTATCCAATGTAGCCGCTAAACGCGTTCACTTCCACACAGCTGCTGTTGATACTCACACAAGCATACCCAGATATATTCTGCTTAGCTTCGGTGCAACTTAGATTTGCAGCAACCCATTGCAGAGAGGCGGATACATCATGAATGATAAAAAGATCGTCTCCTCCAGGAGTAATATCAGAGGCGTAAAGTGCATCCATTTGGTGGTCAAGATTGGTGAATTTAATTGTCCCTTCGTTAACATCCAAATCGATCACCCGAGACCGTGAGTCCTCTTCCTTGTTGAGGACGCCTGAGGATGTTGCATTTGTGCAGGAGAGGCGAAACTCTTTCCTAGCGAAGCAACCCTCTTCTAAGCCGAATGGGAATTGCACACTGATGTTTCCACACTGACGGGTACAATCAGCTCTTGTTTGATTTGGATTGTACTCTAGTTTCAGTAACAAAAAATGTCTTAGCATGCATTTAGGTTAAAAATGACAGTGTACATATAACCTATTAATTTTTTATGCAACGTTTATTCATAGAGAATAAGGGGGATTTGCACAATGATGTTTTTACACTGACAAGTAAAGCATCCAAGCCAATTTGTATCTTTCATAATGGCATATGTGAGTAATTTATAAATAATATTAAGAGGGTATTTTAAATTATTTTCTATAATAATAGATGTGGGTAATTTATATACAAAATTAGGTAGTTATTTTGAATTATCTTTTCATAATAAAAGATGTAGCTAATTTAGATGCAGATTTTAGGAGTTATTTTGAATTTCTTTCATAGTGATAGATGTGAGTAATTTATATACAAATTTAGGGGTCAATTTAAATTATCTTTCACATTGGCAGAGGTGGCTAATTTACTACTTTATGTATTTTCTCATAATTGTAAAGGTGTTTTTTTAATATATAAAACGGAATAGATCCAATGACAATTATAAGCGTCGGTGATTAGAGTCTACTCAATGAAAGGTAAGATATTTCTAATCATTGTGAGATTTTTTAGAAGAATTAACATAAAGGCTCTATTAAGGCCTCTAATTAGTAATACTCCTTCATCCCCAGATAATAAGGTATCCAAGCAAATTTAGGACATATTATATGGTGGAACAAATGATGCATGTAATCTTCTTTGATTACTATATTTGGATTGGTGATAGATATTAATGGTAGGTACACATGTGAATGTTGTCTCTTGGAGGATTTATACATCTAAAATCCCTTATAATTTAGGACAAATTTGAATGCATTGATACCTTATATTACAGGACGGAGGGAGTAGTAAGGTAGTACGTATGCTGATGATTAACTTAAAGTCTTCTTAGAGGCTCTAATCAGGGCTTGTTTAGATTGGGGTTAGGAATCAGTATTTGGCACTGTAGCAATTTCGTTTGTATTTGATAATTATTGTCCAATCATGGCCTAACTAGGCTCAAAAGATTCGTCTCGTAATTTACAATCAAACTGTGTAATTAGTTATTTTTTTATCTATATTTAATACTCCATGCATGTGTCTAAAGATTTGATGTGATGGAGAGAAAGTGAAAAAACTTGCAATCTAAACAAGGCCTTAGTAGTGATAGTAAGATTTAAGGTGTAGGTACGAAGAATATTATTACCTTTATCGTTGGTGCAACCATCCCGAATGTAGGGGTTGCCTGTATAGCCTCTGTCGCATAGGCACAGGTAGCCTTCGCTTGATGTCATGCCTGGGTCGTAGCAATTGGAATTGTTGCTGATACAGGCGTAGTTCTTATGGCTTTTCTTGGCGGCAATACAGTTGGGTTCATCGACGATTCTCCACTCGAGCAAGGCGTCGTCACTGGATACGGTGATTCTATCCCGCAATAGAGAGGTCCGTTTGAATCTCGAGGTGCCGATGCTGCCGCTTTGGTTGTGGCCGTGGACGACGATACTAAGCTGGAAATCTTTCTGGACGCTCTGCCCATAATCCTCCCTGGGACTCACTTCAATAGTGCAACATCCGATGCCTGTGCAGTTGTGCCTAGCCGCCATCTCCGTGATTTCTTCCTCGCCGTGGCACCGAGTGGAGCAAGCCCAAGTGGTTATCGCAGGTACCTGGTTGACCCAGTACACATCCAGGTCGCAGCCAGTGATGTTTAGATGAGTGTAGGCACGCGAGAAGGACCTCCCAGGGGGCTCCAGTGATAGGTTGTACACTCGGACGCCGGATTTCATGGGCACGACACGCCAGATGGAGGTCTTCTCGATTGAATTGTCATTGTCATGATCGAACTCATACCCGTCGGAGCAAACGTCGATGCTGTGGATAACCTCGGTGATGCCATCTGCCAAGAAAAGCTTGGGGGGCCGAGTGGCGTCGTCGCAGGTCAGCCTGAAATCGGGTCCTCTGGAGCACTCCGGTCCGATGCCGAATGGGTAGTCGAAGCTCAAATTGCCGCAGCTCGCCGGGCAAGCTTCCACTTTCTTGTTCCCTCCTCCAGGCTTGATGCTTCTTGTTGCAGGTCCGGATGCTAGCACGGGCGTCGACGAACTTGGAGACCAATGAAGAAGAATCACCAGAGAGAACGCCACCGCACCCGCCATTCTGGTTTGATAGGCGCGTGACCTCTGGAAAAGTGTTCTCTATTCAGAGGCGCATGAACTCTGGACGTCTCGGCCGCAGTTACTCGACCTCAGCTTTCCTCATGCACCCATGCAAAACATTTATTTCTCTTTCTTTCCCAACGCCAGGGAGTCTCACATGTGCATGGACGGCGAGTAGTTACAACATGGGCAGCCAATGGATGAATGGATGGAGAACACAGTTTTTTTTGGCAGGGAGTAATAGATAGGGATTGAAGGGAGTTAAGACTCCTTGATCTTGGTGAAAACTTCTAAAGCGCCTCTCAAACCAGAATGGTTGGAGTACTACTGGTCCTTCTTTATTTATAAATATATATAGGTACCGACCACGCTACCACGCGGTTCCATCCGATCCGTTGTATACGTAGATAATGCGGTTCCATCCCAGCTGTCCGTCAAAGATGGCGTCCGGCGTTGGTAAGTCTTCGCCTGAGCTTACTGAAGTCCATCTTCCGGCGTTGGTAAGTCTTCGCCTGAGCTTACTGAAGTCTTTGGCAACAGAACTTATCGGAAGCTTCGGGCCTTCGGGTTAGCGCGCTTTTCCGGGGCTAGCGATCGACTACGGTTTGGGCGTCGCGTGCACAACACGTACGACTTGGCCAAACGGAGACTCACCTCTGTCGCCAGTGGGAAATGGAGAGAGGTTCCAAAGTCAAGTCGTCGAATCCGCTGAACCAAAAGCTCCCTATCCCCTCCATGCTCTGTGCGGTCCGGTCACTGATTTCAGTCAAAACCGTGTGCATGGCTATGCACTGCAATTAATACCAGCCACTGCCTCGTTCATTGGCCAGGCTCGTAGCTTTGACCTGTGCTCGTACCTGCAGGCTGGAGCAGACACTGACAGCATTCAAGTTTACATGGGGTTTTGGAAGCTGTAAAAACGTTGTAACAGCACGTATAATATCATGCTATAAATTTTATCGGAGTTCGCAGCTTAACACAAGAATTTGTTAAAGCATATGATTGCGAGAGGTTATCGGTACTGTCAAGCCTAACTTTTCAACCATGCGGAGCCTATGTCATGTGACAATCAGGAGCTCAAAGCAATGGTTTCAGTCATCTACTACAAGACTCAGGTTCATCCTAAGTGCAATAGGAAGCCGTCCCGATACCTTGAGGTGGGACAATACAGATCCATCTTGATCTTTTAATTTACTTAACTTGGATTCAAATTTTAGCACAAGTATTTCAAAGATAATCCAAGGGAATGACACAAAGCAAGAGACATAGCAACTTAGCATATAAGTGATAGCAAAAGGGATCTCAACAAATCCTATACATGCTAGTTGCCAATCTCAGCGGTGAACAAACTTTCATGTTTCAACAGTGGTTAATCATGTTCACAAGTTATAAAACAAGCTTAGCTCATAACATGTATCAAGTGATCAAAAAGAGCCTAAGCTATAAGCACCATCATGTACGCACAGAACATACCAAAGAGAGCATAATTTTATTCTAACAGCTATATTCTTGAAGCCCCCCAAAAAATGCTCTATCCTACATGATGCCATGCAATGCAATAGGATACAAAAGCCAAAACCAAAAGGTAAACTACAAAAAAGAACCTAAAACTAGTGTACAAGATCCAAAGCTTCCCTCCTCTAGAAAGGGAAGCAAACACCCAACTCCCCTCGCAAGCGGGCAAAGGTTGCTAGGTAGAGGGGTTTTGTGAGGATATCTACAATTTGGTTTTGGGTGTCAACGTAGCAAAGGTCAATATCCCGTTTCTCATAGTGGTCGCGTAGGAAATGAAAGTGGATATCTATGTGCTTGGTTTTGGAGTGTAGATCAGGGTTCTTTACCACACTTATAGCACTGGTACTATCACAAAAGTAGGACTCTCATGAAGCTCAACCCAAAGTCTCTCAAGGTGTAAATCATCCAAAGCAACTGGGAGCAACAACTTGCAGCAGCGACATACTCAGCTTTGGTTGTGGATTGCGCTATACTAGATTGCTTGCGAGAGGACCAAGAAACCAGTGAAGACCCCAAGAATTGACAAGTACCAGAAGTTGACTTGTGATCCAAGCGACACCCCGCAAAATCCATATCAGAATAACCACAAAGCGAAAGAGTCGAAGAAGAGGAATACCAAAGACCGAACTCGGGTGTGAAACGAAGGTACCTCATGATCCTTTTGATCGCCTGCTTGTGGGGAGAGCGCGGTGAAGCTTGAAAATGAGCGCACAGACACACTACAAAGTGTATGTCTGGCCTCATCGCCGTCAGGTACAGGAGCGAGCCGATCATGCTGATGTACTCCTTCTAATCCACGGGCTTACTGTCCTCAACGGCATCCAACGCCGTCTTAGTTGACATGGGCATCGAAAGAGGCTTGGCCTCTCCCATGTCATACTTCTTCAGGACATCCTTCGTGTAATTGCCTTGATGCACGAATGTCCCATCATGGGTCTGCTTGATTTGCAACCTAAGGAAGAAGTTGAGTTCTCCCATCACACTCATCTCGAATTCCCTGCTCATTGTATCTACAAACTTGGCAACCAAAGCATGAGAAGAGCCACCGAAAATGATATCATCCACATAAATATGAACCAAAAGAGTGTCATTGCCTTGCTTGAGGAGAAACAAAGTTTTATAAACCAAACCCATTTTAAAACCCTTTTAAAGCAAGAAGGTTTTCAAACACTCATACCATGCTCTCGAGGCTTGTTTCAAACCATACAAGGCTTTGTGCAGTTTGAAAACATGGTTTGGAAACTTTGGGTTCTCGAAACCGGGGGGTTGCCTCACATAGACCTATTCCTTTATATACCCGTTCAAGAACGCGCTTTTGACATCCATTTGAAAAAGCTTAAAACCCTTTAAAGCTGCAAAAGCAAGAAGGATTCTAATTGCCTCTAAACGAGCTACAGGGGCAAAAGTCTCCTCATAAACTATGCCCTCCTCTTCAACAAAAATGTTTTCACCGATGTCTTGCTCACCTGCACACTCAATGACAAAAGATGGACACGGCATTGTTTCATCGAATGTGACCTCGCAGGTCTCCACAACTCGGTTAGTTTCTAGGTTAAGAACACGATATGCATGAGAATGAAGTGCATAACCTAGAAAGATGCCATATGAAGATCTGGACTCAAACTTATCCAAGTTACCTGTCTTGAGCACAAAGTACTTGCAACCAAACACCCTGAAATGGCTTACCTTGGGTGGCCGATCAAATCGCAACTCATAAGATGTCTTCTTCGTAAACGCCTGAAGGAAAATGCGATTGGAAACATGGCAAGCGGTGTTGATCGCTTCTTCCCAACATCTCATAGGAGTCCTGTGCTCATCGAGCATCGTCCTAGCCATTTCAACCTAAGTCCGATTTTTGCGCTCAACAACACCGTTTTGCTGGGGGCATAAGGAGAGGAAAACTGATGCTTGAGACCCAAAGAAGCACAAAATGTTTTAAAATGAGTATTCTTGAATTCTATGCCATTGTCACTACAAATCGCTCTCATGGCATTCTTAGGGAGCTCATTTTGCAACCTCAGAATCAAATCTCGAGCATGAGAAAAAGCCTCATCCTTACCCTCCATGAAAAACACCCAAGAGTAGCAAGAAAAGTTGTCCACGATCACTGGAGCGTACCACTTTCCACCATCTGACCGAACCCGAGCTGGACCAACTATGTCCATGTGAAGTAGCTCGCCGGGTTCCTTAGTCATGACTTGGTTCATAGGTGGATGAGAAGCAGCAACCATCTTCCCATGGTGACAAGGGTGACAAACGAGATCCTTCTCAAATTTCAACTTGGGCAATCCTCGGATTAAGTCAAGTGAGCTCAACCTAGCAAGTAGATCGAAGCTCAAGTGACTAAGTCTCCTATGCCACTTCCAAAGTTCAGAGGAGGATCCGGACACAAGACAGTGAGAAGAGCCAAAGGAGTGAGAAAAATCAGCTCGAAAGACATGACCAAAAGGGACAATCTGACAAACAAGATTTCCCTGAGAATCAAGAACGAGACAAGCCATTCTTAAAACGCACTTTAAATCCATCCCCAAGGAGTTGCGAAACAGAGAGCAAGTTAAAATGCAAATTCAAAACCAGCGCAACATCCTTGAGAACAAAACTCTTGTTAACCCAAATGGTTCCACGAGAGACCACCTTACCTTTGCTATTGTTCCCGAATGTGATGTACTCCTTGCAGCCACGGGGTCGAGGCCGGAGAACCACTTTGAGTTTTCGGTCATGTGTGCGTGAACAACCGGAATCAATGAGCCACGTGTTCTCCGTGCCTCCGTCCCCGCATCAATAGAAAGGCATGGGATGAGCAAATGGCACAACACCGGGTTAGTAAACTATGAAGGATACCAAAGTGTTGGCTCATTTACCCTGGAAAAGTGTTAGGAAAAACACCAAACATGACATGTCCCATTTGAGGAAAGCGATCACCATGATAGGGAAACCATGGTCCGCTAAAGTCATGTGAGACCCAAAAGCCACCGCCATGAGGTTCAAAGTCATATTGAACACGACTGAACCCCACCGGGCACGACCATCACGTGGTCTCGAACCTGAGGCCTAGCACCTTGAGGCATTGCACCTCTAGGCCTAGCACTGTGCCTCTCTAATAGGTGGTACATGTACACCAAGGGGTGGGCGGTACATGTTCCGGTTGTTCAACTCGTACTCGCCTCTCATCTCTCTTCCTCCTAATGTAGAATTCGGCAAGGTGACCATCCCTATGGCAGTAGTCATAGTGATACCTCACCTCTCTCTTGGGTGGTGGTTGGTTCACTCTCTTGTGGCTATGGCTCACTCTTGGTGGGTGTTGGGCTCTAGAAAGGGGATTCTCACAGATGTTAGGCAGAGTGTCAAGTGGGTTCTTGAGATCGTTTGGTTTTGGAACCCACACTTGCTTTTGAGGTGGAGCTTTTGGGGGTTCTTCAAGCACCCCATCTTTGGTGACAGGCTCAGTGGACTTTGGTGGGGTGATTTTGATCAACTTGGGAGTG